AAAATTTTCCCTGCTGCATTCTGTACAAAAGATAAACAACATAGTTTTATTTGATATTTAGACTTTTCAAAGCAGAGAATGAGTTTTCTTTAAGTAAAAACATCAATAGCTTTTCCACCCCATAATGATACAGATGTTTGTTGTCACACTGATTGCACAGAAATTCTTGCTCAGCTCCTTAGGGCAGACTAAGCCCTAGAAATATTCCAATTCATTGTGATTAACCATTTGGAGAATTTAGCTGCCAAACAACAGCAATTATCTGCAGAGAATGTGTGAACTGACACTCACTGTCTCATCAAATTGAGACGAATTTCTGTAAGAAAATCAATATCACAAGATCACAGTGCTCTCCCTCATACATTTCAAGTCCTCGCTCCTAAGGACACAGCACTAAAGCTTTTGAATAGAATGACTGCATTATTGTTAATATAGGCTTTTTGTATGTGTACTTTATAAGAAATGTATCGATGACTTTTCTTTTTTTTTTTTTTAATTCAGCTTGAAAGCTGTGAATCCCAAGACCTTTCAGACGTAACTGCATCTGCAAGAGCCAGCTGCCCTTGCGCCCTTCCTACTCCACCCCTCTTTTGGAGGCTACGGCCCTCTAGCAAAGGCACCAGGAGGGTGGCAGGAGTAACTGTCCACCACTGTAAATTAATAGGGATTTTTCCTGTCAAGTAATATGCCTACTACAAACCACAGCTGCTAGGGAGAAAACACTATCCTTTCTGCCATCCTTACTACAAGGCTAGAACATGGGAGAGAACTAGGATTAAGATGCCTTCAGCAACTAAATCCAACTGGGCTCATAAGGTAGAGCTCTGAGACAGAAAATTGTGTTTGGCGATATTACAAGCAACAGAGTCTGTTTATAGAAAGCATAGCACCATCTTACCTACAGGAATCCCTACTTGCACCAACTGTATTAAGTATGTATTTGACTTGCAACTGTAGGTGTAGTTGCACAAGATGTGGGTACACACTAATGTGTACATGAACATTATTAGGAAGTACCGTGCACCATTAAGGCGCGTTGCAAAAATCTGAAATGACAAAAAGCGCTTACAAGAGGCATTGCAATTACTGTGATTTAAGTAGATCCACATCATTTTATAATACAGCTATAAGCAAACTTGCAGCAGTGCATTTTTTTAATCGTTTGGCTTTTTTTCCTGATTTTTTTCTAATGTGCTGAGTATTTGCAGAATGAAAGGAACAACAACATAACATACCAATCATAAAAAATACACAACTAAGAATTGCAAATACCATCTCAGAACTTCCATATAAAGCATCAGTTACCCTTTTTAATTTGCAATATCTGTATATCTGTGATATACAGTAAACTGATTAGTCACATTATAAATGATTAATTAAAATGTTATTCTGCTTTTTCTCCCTGTTTCCCTGCAGGTACATAGTAGAGGTACATACAGAATTTAGAAGTATTTCTTACACAATTCCATTGCAGGGTCATTTGAGTGAAGCAATCTCTGAATGCCACTATACATATGCTAATTTTACCTTGAGTAATTTCATGCCTCAGGGAGAGCACATCTTGAATAAAGAATCTAGTGAGATTAATGCTGGTTTAATAATATCTAATTTGCTTAGAGCACTATTTCCTGTACAATTGAGTACAATTCCCTGTAACTGTCTTGGTGTTTCTCATCAAGTATTGATATATCACTCAGAATGTAATATATACATATAGTTTCGGCAGATGTCTTGTTTTTAGGCTTATGCTAGGATTCTCACGTTATTCCTCTAATCCACCCGATTATATCCATAGTTTAAATATAAAATTATTATAGCAAATCTGGCTGTTTCCAACATTTTTTCAATAGCTTGATTAACTTGTTTTGGCTTCTGAAGTGAGGTAATAGTCTACTTTGGAGAGCTTATTAAAAACATGTCTAGCTAGAAGGCTACCCTGTTCACAGAGGTACGGGACTTTATATAAGCATTCATATTTTTTTCCATGAGAAGTTTAAGTAATTTTATAAAAGTGTGAGTGCTTGCAAAAAAAAAAAAAACCTCATCACATTTTGAACAAAATGAACCAGTACCTCTATATCAAATATACGGGTAACAAAGTAACTTAAATAATTTCACACTTGGAGTTACCAGTATACAATACAATTCTGACCTTTTTGATAACACAGGAACAGAGATAAATTTTGACTGTAGTTTTGCCCTACCAACAAAAATCAGTGTATGAACTGATAACAAATTTGACATATTTAAAGGCCTGGTGTTAGAAATGAAAATTATCTCCAACAAAATTTAAAAATGTACATCTGGCTGCTTTTTTAATATTTTGATTTTCATTTCTAACTACATAGTTTTGAGGGAATGTTTACTTTGCCATTACACTTGAGGTCATTAGTGTTTCTTGCATGTGGTTCCACTTCACTTCTTAATGCCATACATGTTAGACAACTCTACACTAGAAAATTGAGGAAAGAAGGTTCGCACGCATTTTCTCAGTCACTTTCCAACACAATACCTGAGCATGTCTACAGAATCTACTTTTGCAAAGTCTCTTCTTTGCAAGCAGCTCCAAGGGATGAACACAGCAAGGAACGAACAATAAATCCTCAGAGCAGTGGAGAAGCAAAGTATGATTTTTTTTTCAGAGGTTAAGTGTGGGACAAAATAAGGATGACAAGTAGAAAGATTATAAACCTATATAAAAGTTCAGAGTTTTTCCACTTCTCCTCATTGCCTGCAGTTCAGGCAGGATTCAGGATTAATACTCTTGGAGTGTTATTTTAGAGACTTCTTAGTGTATGCACAAACATTTTTTATTACATAAGACAGAGCGTGAGACAAATATTCAGTAAAAAAATCTGAGGTCTAGTAATTTTCCATTCGTAAACCTAACCTGTCAAACTAACAGTGAATATAAATCACGATAAAAGTTTGGGACTATCCTTTTTCCTATTCTCGTGAGTGTCGCCTAGAATCAATATGCTTCAGAGACACTGTGTGTTGCAATAAAGGCATAATTAGTCCAAAATCTGATTACACAGAGAGCCACTCACTGAGCATGCACAGGAAGACTTCTGTACATGTTTTGGAAAATAGAGATGACAAACCTGCTTTCAGAGATTCAGAACACATAACAAGCAAATACCTACTCATCAAGAATTCTTACAGGAAAGTTCAAAAATGTCATTACCAACAACTTTCTGACATTCTTTTTTTAAAAATATTCTAAAAAAATTGATTTCTCTTTCTCTAACCCAAGCCAGTGCAGTAGAGGAGATCTACTTGAAGTGGACAAGGAAAGATTGTAGTGCTGTACCTCAGACCGCCTTTTACTGCTATGTATGTATCGGGGATGTAGCAAGCAAATGCAGAAAACAGTGAACAAACGCAAGAGCATTCCATGAGGCATAGAAGGACTCCAAGGATAAGCTCAGATCCTAGTTCAAGGGTGATTGGTCTAAGTATCAACATAATATTATCCCAAGAGTGTTCTGACTTTCCTTGTAAGGAAAAGGCTTAGAATCCTTAAGTTAATGCCTTCTGCATGAAAAACAACTAGCCCCATCAGCCAACTAAATAGTATTTTCTTTTTCATAATATAGATAGAAATATCAAGTAATTTAGTACAAAAGGGAGGTTCTCCTATAATCTACTTACACCTTTAATGAATACAGTTAACATTCTAGATGATAGCTATTTGATTGCTTTTCAGTATTTTTTTTTTTTTCACCCATTTGGACCTTTTTGGCCAGAGGTTCCATTTAAAAATCACTTGAATAGATATGCATGTATTTTTTCTTTTGATATTCTTTTTTCTATCTTATCTTATTATAAAAATGAATTAAAGCTATGTTTTGTCCTGAAGATATTCTTTCAAGACATATTCATCTTTTCTGTTCAATATAGCCAGTCAAAAACCCACTGATTTCTTAAATTCTTCTTCGCATTACAGTTACAACTGCATTTATTTGCTGTGATATCACTTGAGGAATAATCTGTAAGTATTAACTTCAAGTACTATTCATGCAGCACTACTGAAAATCAAAAAATATACCTGTATTACTACTTACTATGTGCAATTCAGAAATGAGACAATAGCTAGCAATCACGTCTCTGTGATTCTGATTAAGCTTTAAATGTGACATATAGGACGGGCAGAAGTATTTCAAAATTAAAGGTATCAAATGCTTTTTCTTTTAATTTTCTGACCTGAAGACAATGGGGTGGTAAAGACCTTTTCAATATTTTTTTTCAACTGCAGAAAGACACTACCTCAGTTAATTCAGGAAAATTAGCTGCATCTGCTGATTAATGCCTGTAATTCTTCCTCTATGTCATTAAAATTCATACGGGTTGCTACAGCTCTGCTCACTCTTTAGGAAGCTCCATTAACCAAAATGTTACTCATGGTGAGATGTGCCTCAAAATACAAAGACCCCAATTTTATTCTAACACACATTGCCATAGCAGCTGATTTTATCACCAAATGGCTCATAAAGCTGAGAAAAGACAAATACAGGGCTAGGATATACTTCTGTGATGTCTGTAAATTCCACTGTATCCAATGGGAGTATTACGTTAATACTGAGCTTAAATTATACGTCTTTATGCCTCTTTACTCAAGCACACAAAAATTATCATCTAAGGCTACTGGTACATTTTTTTAAAATATTCAGCCCTTGAAGAATTTATTAGTATAGTACATAAAATACTTTTCATAAAAAGGACAGCTAAGCTATTTCCCTGTTACAGAGCACAATTTCTCACAGATTTTTCAAATTCCCTCTTACCAAAGACAAACTAAGTTGTTAGTTTGTCAGCCTTCTGGGCACTGTATATTTTTTAATACATCATATAACCAGTGGATAAATCAGTAGCGAAAATAATCGTCTGTGGGATTAGGTTAGTAAATTTGTTGTTTACTCTAGTGAGCTATCACACTGAAATCATTCATATTGATGAGCATAAGCTTCAGCTGTTCTTAATTCCAGTCAGATATTTACCTCTCTCTGTCCGGTGAGTAGTGGTCATCTATTACACGGTGTCTATCCATTCGGTTCAGGGTATTGTAATGTGCAGGGGTAGATCGAGTCCCTCGTAGTCCCTGATCCACGTTACGACTACAAATAAAAGATATCAGATTTCCTTTCAGAAACCTTTTCTCAGTTTTCTGTACTACAGGAAAAGGCACTAACACCACGTGTGGGATAGTTTGGGGGGAGTTCTTTGGTATTTGCTTTGAAAATGAGAGAATTTCAATATTTTATTTAAAGGGTTAATTTTCATCAAAATTTGATTATTCTTTCCAGACTAGTACTTTCAAGGAGAATTTCCTTCCTACTTAAAAAATACACTGTAAGGAATTTTCCAGGAGCCACTGAGTTTGGCTATACTAGGAATGTGTAAACTTAGTGGGCACAATGAGGACTACTGGCTATTAAGGGAGACTGCAAACTGATGAAAACAATGTCATCTGAATACAACAGAAGATATTTGAAAAGCTTATTCTCTAGCTCATTAGCATAGAATCTGAAAAAGATAGCATTTTTTAATTAAATGTTTTTTTATTCCAATAGCAAGAGTAAGCGGCACACTTAGCACAGCTATGGTTCAAGAGTATCTGTCACCCTTTCAGTTTAGTCCTGCTTGAGATGAAGGCTTTGCCCACAGAAAGCTTTACTCAGTTTAAACATTAATACCTACTGATTTCCACAGACCTTACTTTTGCCACTCTCTAAAACAAACCTACAAGAAGGGGAAGATAGGAAGACAACAGTTAACTGTTACAATTATCAGAAAAATAAAATAGGATAGTTTTGCAGGGATTTGAAAATAATAGGGTTTGCATGCTTCCCTCCACAGAAATTCAAAAGTTAGACCTATAAATTCTTCTGCCTTCTATTCTTTCCCCCAGCCTTCCCTAAACGTGGGCCTCCTTTCACTTTTACTCTGTTCAGCTCCCGCGCCTTTAGCTCACCATTGCCCTTTTTTATGCATGTTTGCACCCTAAAACAGATAGTGATTAGTGTCCTCTAGTGTTCTTTGCTGATTATTCTACTTTTCTCAACAATCAACTATCATTCTTCCTTTCTCAATTCTAGTCTCTGTCTAACTCTTTCCTCAGTCTCTCTTTTCTTTCAGGTTCTCTCTACCACAGTCTATGTATGCGTACTCTGGCCTTTTTTCTTAATTAAATATAAATAAATAAATCAACATATTTTACTTAACTCCCTAATAGAGAAAAAAAAAAAAAAAAAGAGAAAAACCCTCTTCTTCCTCACCTTCATTTTAAAGTGCACTCTGTTTTAAGTACTCACTTTGTAATTTAAATCCAATCCCTTTCCTTTATTTGCTTTGTTAGCATCATCCCAGGTGATGCATTAACTCAAACTTAAGGTTGCATTTGAAAATCATCAACCATTCTGTAATCACTGGGCTTTCCCGAGCCTGTCCTCTTCAGTGTCTTCGCTTATCTCACTGTGTTTTAGCATTTCATTCGCTGGGTTTTATTTTCTTCCTCTCTTTCAATGTGGACCATAGCATTCCCAGCCCCTTTTTTTCATGTTGCAATCCCATCTCTGAGCAATGTCAGTGTCAAACTCGGGTTTAAATTCCATCTTTGTGCTGATAACCCCATCATCTCCCTCCCACACAAAACAAAACCTCACCTATTTTTCTTACTGATTGATGTTCACAGATGTCCAGCCATCAACTGCAACTGAACAATGCCAACATTGAACTTCTCATCCTTCTCCCTGAGGCCTTCTTCTCATTCCATAATTTTGTAATAGCAGAAAAGAAAATTACCTACCTTGTTTTTTTCTGTCTATGGGATTAGCTTTATTTTTCACTCAGTCCTTCTTTTGACTTAAATATCTAAGCTTTATAAATGTTGTTATTTTTCTGCAAAATTTCTCCAAGATCTGACCTTTGCTCTGCCCACACAACCAAAACTCCTGAGTAAACTTTCTTTATTAGTATCTTCTTTCTAGTCTTAGTACTGAAAAACTCAGTATTAACCTGTTCACTCATATCATTTTCAATAAGATTGTGTTCTCAGCTGACTGCTCTAAATAAATCATTCTTTCTTAAGTTTCTGCATTGTATCAGATTCTGACTTGCTGCTGCTTTTTACAGTCCTATACAATTGTATTTCTTCCACTCCAAACAAAGCATTATTACTATTTCAGTCCTGTTCCACTCTGCTAAGGATTCTTGTGTTAGCCAGTTTTATTATTTACCAGAAAAAGACATATGCTTTTTCTCCAAGGAAACTTCTTACATACGAGAAGTTCCTTTCACATGATATATCATCACTCCTTTGGATCTTCCTTGCAGTTGACAGAATGTGCATGGAGTAAAGCAACCAGATAACAGGTAGGCAAGTGAAAAGCTGTAATTGCAGCTGATGATGGTCCTATTGGATTTACCACACCATTTCAGCCTCTCCACTTTCTGTATTTCACGATCGTCCTGTTTTTCGAATGTAAAGTCTTAGAAAAAGCTAAATGTGATTTTGGTCACATGTTGGCCTACCACAGCCTAAACTCTATTCTGATCTACAGAAAGAATAACATAATCCATCACGTATATTAGCTGAAAATATTACAAGAGGCTTTTGCTTCTTTCCTAGAGACTTTTAATCTGTTCTCACCTCTGTCAGAGGTAAAATCATACAATTTAACAGTTACCAGATTACTAATGTATATGTTCAAAGTAAAATTCTCTTGTCAGCTACCATGCAACTCAGTTTTGGTCAATTTTAAGGGCTTCAAGCTACACATTTATTAACTAGGTCCGGTGGAAGAACTGAAAGCTCTTGAACCATCTCTGCAAAACTGCTTCTAAGGTATAAAAGCAACTTGTGTTTCTATGTCCCAAGAGAGGCTCTTGCCTGCAGATGCATCATTAAGTAACTGGGAGATCGCTGGACGTGCAGTATGCTTACTGAAGTTAGAACAAGTCTGTAGCAGCACATATATAACAAACTCAACTATATGTGCAAATGTGATTAACAATGCTTATAGCTTTGCTGAGTATGGCTGGATTTTCATTAGAATGAAAAAGGATCATGCTCCTTCTTTTTTATGAAGTCTTAAGTTCTAGCAAATGATTCTCCGGACTCTACAAATCCTGAAATAAATGATTCAGGGTATGGGATTGAAATACTAGATAAGTAATGCATTTGACTGTCAGATTGTAGGAAATAGCTGCAACATTTTTCTCTGTAAGTTCAAAATTATATTTAAAAATTTAGCTTAGGACAGGCAGAAAGCAAGAAATATATCATACAGGTAAAGACTGGCAAAATGACAAGTAGATGAAAAGATTTTTTTAATGATGTTAGTCAAGTGTTAATTACTAGTTTGGTTTACAGTTCTGCCCAAAACGCACATACTACAACAATCACAATTTTTCTCACATTTGTGTCTATGTCCAACAGAAAAAAAATTCTAGAGATTTAATATAGGTAATTAGTTTAAAATATGTATAGCAGAAATCAGAACAGGCCCTCTTGCCTACTGCTTATCTAATTACATACTGTCTTATTTAAAGCAAAGTTGTATTAACATTTTTTTTAAATTTCAAGTAGAAACTTACAGTTTCTGCATGTTAGCTGTCTGTGATGACATGGGGTAATTTGGGATCCTAATAATTCACTAATGGCAAATGATATCTTTTAATCTGTATCTGTTAGAGGAAATGGTAAGTAAACAAGTAAGTAAGAGAATATGAAGTCAAGAGAATTTTAAGCTAACCTAAGTAACAAAAGCAACAGGAAAGCAGAACAGAAGAGAATCAAAATGGCTGTAGAAGAAAGGGATTCATTCATGTACCTTAATAGGAATACTGGATATGAAATCCTCAGTATTCAATGGGAACTGTGAACTTTATGGGCAAAGGACGTAACTTACTATGCTTATTCCAGTTTAGAGAATTACACCAGCTGAGAACCTAGCCATTGATAGAAACAACAAATGCTGGAAGAAACGCTTCATTCCCCTTACACTTCTATTTTTGCTTCTTCTAAAAGAAAGTTTCTCCACGTGGGAAATATCTTAATTCTGGATTAAACAGTATATTCTATCAACTAGCAGTTATTATCCAAAATGGCCAGCTTATGGAAGAAATGTCCTGCTCGTTGTTTCATAAGATAAATAGCTATCAGAGGCTTTCTAAGATCAGGAGAGAGAAGTTTTCAATATAAAATCATATGTATGTCAATATATTCTTGATGCTTTAAAAAGTTTGAAGAAAATATTAAAAAGTAAGCTACCATGGGCAAAAACGATAGCTCTCCCAGAACCCTAATCCTATGCAGACAAGAGGATTGAAAATGGATGCTAACAAACAAAGACTAAGAAAATGAAGAACCTTTAGATACTGTAAAACACAAAACCTTCCAAATAGCTCTTGAAAATGAACATCTGGAGTAAATATTTTTCTTTCTTTAGATTGGAATGTATTTTGGTTTTTTATGAAAAATAAAACAAAATTAGGTGAATTTCTACACATCAATATAGCGTAAGAACAAACATCCTTGGCTTTACGTAATTTCATAGGATATAACTAATTCATTGTCATTTTGGAAGTCACGTCATTCTCTCTGTATTTTCACAAGATCAATAGCACTTTACTTCATATACCTGCAGAGTTAAATAACAGTTTACCTTTGTGGGGGAGGGACGCTGGGAGACCACGATCTAGTACGTCCTATGCTATCACCACGGTGAGGGGATCCTGATCGAGAGCAATGATTAGATGACATAACTTGTTCTGGCACTGACAGCGTGGAACTTTGAAGATCTCTCCCATTATGTCGATAATCTAAAAAGAAATACAAATATTCAATAAAACTGGAATAGCATTTTTCTTTCCTATTACATCTGTAGCGATTTAAAATGTGATAGATGATAGGTTTTGATCAAGAATGCCATATGTTCTTTATGGCGCCTGTAATAAAAAATATCTATGTAAACATAATTCCTCTTGTTATGTTTAAGTCCAGCTTTAGTTCCTATAGTTACACTTTGAATTTATATAAATGAATTGCCATGCACAACACTGGTATTCATAATAATCAAAATATCCACCTTTACCACTTATTTGTGGTGAATATGATGCATTAATAGTAGTCACGCAAAACTGATTTTTTTTTTAGAATAAATAACATACAAAATTGATTACTGCATTTTGCAATTAAAAGCTGTATTGTAACGATTACTTACAATATGCAATACCATGACACTACACACAGATATGTTCAAGATTCAAAACTAATCCAAAATTCAGTTAAAAAAATTGGGATAGCAAACTTCTGGATGTTTGAACATAGAGTTGGGGCTAAACAATTTCTATTTCCAGAAAGAGCTTCAGAAACAATGACACGGGATTTCACTCACAGGTCTGAACTTAAGCAACGTGGTTACTTTGCAAATATATGAGCTAAGGCTACACAAACACCTGCTGACATTCCTTAGCTAAGCTTGAATTAAGATAATAGGAAGCATGAAATAGTCTAGGCAAAGTCTTACCAGATATAATAGTTTAAAAGGCAATTACAGGGCCATCATACATATGGATTTTAAAAAATCTTTTTTAAAAGCCAGGTTTACTGAAGTAACTATCTGCACGTAACTGCAAAAATAGCACTGCCCTATTCTTTTTAAAAATGTCAGCTTAAAAACCTGAATTCAGGGTACAATACTATCTGTGAACAAAAGATTCCAGATATACAGTAATTTCAAAGAAGTATTCACGTATTTTGTCAGGATCAAATTAATATGTATTATTAAGAGACAGAGGAATTCCAAATCTTAGCCTGATGATAATGTTTTGCAGACGCAAACAGCTCCTGACAGATATGACCCTTGATATAACTGAATTTTCGCTCCGAAGATGGGAATTAAGTGATTATAGTAAAAAGTGTTTAGAGACTTCCACAGGCCACTGGAAAATTCTGGCGCACAAAATTATAATTTTCTTCCTGTTAGAATGAGATTCCAAGAGGACTTAGACTTCTACTCCAGACTGTTTGTGGCTTTCTTCCTGGAAAATTTTTGGCAATCACCTAACCAGAACCTAATTAATGCAGTCCATTTCACGGTTCCAAGGATGTTTGATATTTCCAGCTAAACACTGCTATACGCTATATGACCTCAGGATCAAGGAGGTATAGGAATCATCCTAATTCATGAATTTCTTCCTCCTCTTTGTGCGTATGTGCGTATGTGTGTACATAAAGGGGAAAAACACCACACCATCATTACAATCATCTGAAAACAACGATGTTGAGGATTAGATATGCTCTTGTCACTTCAAAGCAAACAAGTAATGTTATGTGCAGCCTAGGTTGGTAGCCAGTAATGAACGACAGATATTTATCCCATGTAGAATTATCTGTTACATAATTAGCACATATGCTGTCAGAGCATATAAGGTCCATTGCAACACACAGTTCTGGGTGAAATTGCCAGAGAGAGGGGGGAGTTGTTCTCAGTTGTTCAAGCTGAGTATTTTAACTAATCAGTCAGGTACAAGATATCGGTCTAACAAAGATATTCGCATCTCCAAAGAACAGAAACAATGCTTATTTTAGTTAATGTGAAAGGCCATAAAAATCTGCTTGATAAAAAGGGAAGAGAAGTACAAGGCAGTTATAGGACACCCCTCCCACAAGAAGTGAAAGGGGAAATTAGCTACAAAAAAGGTTGTGAGCAGTGATGAAGGCTGATAAGGAAAGGACTATCTTTTTTTATTACTATTTAATCATCATGTAAATACTTTATATTTCTTCTTTCCTTTCTTGACCAACGTATCTTATAAATATTTTGGACTTGTGTTGTCTATTTCAGGTGCTGTAACTAAATGTTTTCATCCGCATTTTATCTTAACCTTGCTTTTCCTAAGTGCCATTTTACTACAAGTAAGGGTCACGGTATTCATCAACCAAGGGTGTCTCAATCCATAAGTGGGGCATTTGACTCCCTCAGACATCCTCTGGAGTACCCTCATTTCAGCTGCACAAGCAAAGGGGAGAGCTGGAAGCACCGGTGTGAGCAGCGTTTCTCAGCAGCTGATGGTACACTTGGTATATACACTTGGTATATAAACTTTCTAGCAAGTAGCAAGACACTGGGGTAGCCTTAAGCCTCCGCAGCATGGGTCACATCAAAAAGAATATAATATAAATACTTACTGCACTAGACAAAAATGTTATCTTAATACAAGCACAATCAAGAGTGTCTGTAAGGGGGTCAAGAAATTCAGGTCCTGACATATGGAGAGATAGTAAAGTACAGAGGGCATCTGTAGCAAAGTTTTTACAAGTCAAAGCATGCAAATCAATAGATTCTGCAACTATCAATCAAAAGAGAAAAAGCTAAAGTAAAAGTAAAATAATTAAATTCATTAAATCTGCATATATATACAAATGAATTACTTTGATACAAAAAGCCTTCTCCAGCTCTAACTTCTGATCCTTCAGCTGACCACCTGCACACTGTTGCAACAAATCAAAATATATGACTACCTAATTAAATTTCCAAGTATAATCCTGATCAAAAATGTTTCACATCAGATTGGAAGCAGATGTGCAATGCTTTCTGATAACTGCAATGCCTCCTTAAATGCCAATTTAAAAAGACAGAAACTATAAATGATTCTAATATTTTTGCATCAATCCAATTAGTAATGTTAAGCTGTGTTCTGAGAAACAGATTAATAGCTGTATGCTTTCTTGCCAGAAAATGAACTTTGCAAGTTTATAACGGATTCACTCAAAGCAATAACTGCTGTATTTATCAACTCCTTTTTTGTCAACGTGCGACATACTGGAGAGTAACAGTTTGAGTAACGCTACCCATTCATGTAAGTTAATTTCAAAGTCGTCCTTCAGTGCTGTAGAATTCATTAATGCAGTTTTCTGCTATTATTTCGTAGTAAATATTTTTACTAGGCAGGAATTCAAAGCAACACAGCATACAACATCATACACAATCTCCTACTGAAAATAACCATGTGAGACCTTCACAGAACATAACTTTCTGTGAGCGTCTGTAGCATATAATATGGCAGACTAGTCACTCACATGATGCCCGTTCTGGGCACACAGTCAGAGAAAAAACTAGAACCATCTACGAAACTGGCAGGTCCAAAAGGCAAGAACCTAGCAAGCTTTTTGATCAGTTTTGAACTTAAACAAGTCTGTCTAAGGTCAGCTTTGGCACATTACAAAGTTAGGAGTTACAAGTATCTGTCTTGCAGGCACTTGGCTCCAGCATATCATAGTTTAAAGGTTCTTGGTCTTTGAGTCTTTGCATTTAACTGGAAAACAAGTTTTCCTTATTCAAAATAGTGGAGACAATTTTTTCAGAGTATCAGGTTTTAATAAAAAATACTATTGTTATTGCTCTGTTTACTGTTTTATTTCTACAAATAAATGCAGATTTCCAAACTTCATTGCCAAGGTCATATTTATTTTCCTTTCTGAATCTAATGATCAGAATCCAAAATGGGAAAAGTGTAGTTAATTACACCCCTCTGCATTCCAAAATAAAACTGTTGTCTGTGCTTAAACCATAGAGAAAATGCATGTCATATGCCCAGCCACTGGACTCCAACGTGACTTTATGCCCCCTATACATTGATATTCTCTCCAGCTGAAATCAGATGAAAAAGACAGTATCTACTACAGTGTACCCGGAGACTTCAACTGCTATGGGATTTCATCCCAAAATTTAGAAAGTATAGAGAAACCACCTTGGTTTCAGTGGGAAAATGGCAGGAATATAAAAAGTACCTAACCAACTGTTTAAGAATAAACTTTGTAAGATAAAGCCTATTGAGACTCTGCTGATACTGAAATAATCGATTCAGTGACAAGTGATCTTTCACTTGTTTATTCTTTCATTGAATTGCAAGTTGATCTGAATGGCTTTCGTTGCAATTGCCACCTACCAAATAACATACTTGTGTATGTAAGAAATTTGTGCCTTTCATTGATCTCCTTAAAACTCCAGACATACAAGACAAGAAATCTGTGATTATCCTTCAGGCACAGGAGATACAAAGAGAACAGTGGGTCAGCTCTTCAGCTAAAAAAGTCATAGCAAGGATGCTATGACTTCAAGCTTTACAAAGATGATAGTAAAACAAAGCTTTTGTGGGAGGCTTAATAAGATACTTGGTACCAATCCATACACCTCAGAAGTGGCCAACACTGCAATAAATAGGCTTAGTAATCAACACTGGAGTTCCTGTAAGTCCAAACAGACTTTAAAGTCCAAACAGACTTTAAAGCAGCTATCCCTGATTGAACGACCCATGGAGTATGAGCTGATGATGTTGCTACTCCTCACTTGAGGACTAATTCTCTCTAGCACAGGACTGCCTTTGCTTGCCCAAGTGCTGCAGATTCAAGTCTCTCTCAAGAGTGGTGATGTTCTAAAAATTATTGTGATTTATTCAATCAAAAGGTACAATTTGTCTTCCAATTTCAAAAAAATCCTATGCCCTGGAAACAAGCTTACAGAAGGAAAGTGAAACTATTTTACTGTGTAAAGAAAATGTAGGCACCACTTTACTATGTAAAGAAAATGTAGGCACTAAAAACAGGCTGTAAGTGCAACTTGACCAAGGAGCTGCTATTGAGCAGAGCAGTCAGTTAATTATAGCAGCAGAAAAAATAGGATAACCATTGGAATCTTCTTGCAGCTATAAATATTAAGTCATTAGCATAAAATCAAAGGCTCTATAACTACAGCAAGCCTCTTAAATCAACGTACAGAGCACAAAGAACCTGATAATCAGTAGAGCGATAATCAGAG